GGATGCAAACCTGACACACACCTTTCTTGATTATAAACCATGCAGTATCCCCTTGCTCTGTTTGAATGACTGCCTCTTCGTCTATGTACAGGTTCCGCATGAGCACAATTAAGTGTTCTTTGCAATGTTATCCATAATTTGTTACGATCCAAATAGTCGAATGCCTGTGCATAATTAATAAAACACAGGTAATATCTTTCTGGTATTCTCTGCTTCCAGCCAAGAAGTACTTGACATCAGCAATGATATCCTTCATTCCATGTCCTCTTCTGAATCTGGCTTGAACTTCTCGCAGTTTCCCAATGATGTACTGCTGCAACTGCTTTTGAATGATCTTCAGCAAAATTTTACTTGTGTGCACCCAACATTAGAGCATCTAAATATATAAAGCAAACACTAACAGAATTGAAGAGACAAATAGATAGCACTACAATAATAGTTGAAGACTTCAACACACTACTTTCAATATTGGACAGAACATCTAGAAAGATCAACAGGGAAACAAAGGACCTGAATGACACTATAAACCAAATAGACTTAACATACATATATAGAACATTCCACTCAACAACAGCACAATAAATGGTCTATTCCAGTGGATATGGATCATTCTCCAGAAGAGACCACATGTTCAGTCACAAAGCAAGTTTTGATAAATTTAAAAAGACTAAAATCATACAAAGTATTTTCTTTGACCACAATGGAGTGAAGCTAGAAATTGCTAACAGAAGAAAAAAAAAAAAAAAAAAAAACAACCACTCTGGAAAATACAGAAACATATGAAAATTAAACAACTCCCCCAAAAAACCAAACCGATTGCCATCAAGTTGATTCCGACTCATAGTGACTCTATAGGACAGAGTAGAACTGCCCTGTAGGGTTTCCAAGGAATGGCTGGTGGATTCCAACTGCCATCATTTTGGTTAGCAACCAAGCTCTTAACCATTGCACCACCAGGGCTCTGAAATTAAACAACACACTATTAAACTACTAACGGGTCAAGGAAGAAATCAAAAGAGAAATCACAAAATTTTCCTAGAGTCAAATGAAAATGAAAGCACAACATACCAAAACTTATGGAATGCAGTAAAGGCAATACTCAGAGGGAAACTTCGAGCAGTAAACTCCTACATGAGAAATGAAGAAAGATCTCAAATAACCAGCCTAACTAGACAACTCCAGGAACTAGAAAGAAAAGAGCAAACTAAGCCTAAACCTACCAGAAGAAAAGAAATAACAAAGATCAGAGCATAAATGAATAAAATTGAAAACAGAAAAACAAGAGAGAAAATCAATAAAACCAGAAGTTGGTTCTTTGAGAAGATCAATAAAAATGACAAACCTTTATCTAGACTGACAAAGAAAAAAAAGAAAAGATGCAAATAACCAAAATAAGAAATCAAAGAGGGGACATTACAACTGACCCAACAGAAATAGAAAGAATTATGACAGAATATTATGAAAAACTGTATGGCAACTAACTGGATAACCTAGATGAAATGGACAAATTCTGCCCAAACTGTGTCTGGAGAAAATAGAAAGCCTCAACAGACTCATAATAAGTGAAGAGATCAAATCAGTGATCGAAAACCTCCCAACAACAACAACAAAAGTCCTGGACCAGATGGCTTCACTGGGGAATTCTAACAAATATTTAGAAAAGAACTGAAACCAATTCTGTTTAAACTCTTCCAAAAGATAGGGAAGGAAGGACTACTTCCTAATTTATTCTATGAAGCAAACATAATTCTGATACTATAACCAGACAAAGTCACAACAAGAAAACTCAGGCCAATATATCTTATGAATATAGGTACAAAAATCCTCAACAAAATACTAGCAAACAGAATACAATAACATACTAAAAGAGTCATACACCATGACCAAGTGGGATTTATTCCAGGAATGCAGGGATGGTTCAATATTAGAAAATCAATCAGTGTAATATACCACATCAATAGAACAAAGGAAAAGAAGCATATGATCATCTCTTTGGTCATTGACTCTGAGCCCTGGAAAGCCCCAGAGGGGTCATTTCCACAGGAAGCTGGAGTCTTCCCTTTTCAGGCAAATCCAGAATCTTCAGTTTTCACCTTAAATCAATTCATGAATTATCCTCCTGATGGAGAAGGCTGCTGCAATCATGGAAACAAACACCCTAAGTTGGGAGACCTCAGCTCAGAGGTCTGAGGCAGTTTCCATGGCAGAAACCTCTATTGTCTGTCATGTATGGAAAGAGGTGGTGGGGCAGAGGAGGTACCAAGAAAGAAGAGCTATAGGGATTTATCTTGGGGATGGGGTAGGGGTTTAGGAAACAGAAGGTATGACACCATGACATGACGGGAAGCACAGTAGCACGGTTCTATCGCTCTTCTTTCTATTAAAATCTCAGCAAGGTTTTTGGTAATTTAGACAAGATTATTCTAAAATTAATAATAAAAGACACAGGTTCTAGAACAGCTAAAACAATCTTGACAAAGACAAAGTGGGAGGAATCACTCTATCTACTATTAAGGCCTATTATATAGCTACCCACCATGCGTCTGTCAGTCTGTTGTACTGTGGTGGCTTGCGTGTTGCTGTGATACTGGAAGCTACGCCACTGGTATTTCAAACACAAGCTGGGTCACCCTTGGTGGACAGGTTTCAGCGGAGCTTCCAGACTAAGAAAGACTCAGAAGAAGGACCTGGCGGTCTACTTCTGAAAAAACTGGCCACTGAAAACTTTATGAATAGCAGCGGAACACTGTCTGAAATAGTGCCAGAAGATGTGCCCCTCATGTTGGAAGTCACTCAAAATACAACTGTGGAAGAGCTTCCTCCTCAAAGTAGAGTCAACCTTAATGAAGTGGATGGAGTCAAGCTTTCAGGATCTTCATTTGCTGATGTGACAGGAACTCAAAATGAGCTGCAAACATCCTTTAATAATTGGAACGTGGAATGTATGAAGTATGAATCTAGGAAAATTGGAAGTTGTCAAAAATGAAATGGAATGCATAAGCGTTGATATTCTAGGCATTAGTAAGCTGAAATGGACTGGTATTGGCCATTCTGAATCAGACAATTCTATGGTGTTCTATACCAGGAATGACAAATTGAAGAGGAATGACGTCGTGTTCATCATCAAAAAGAACATTTCAAGATCTACCCTGAAGTACAATGCTGCCAGTGATAGGATAACATTCATATGCCTACAAGGAAGACCAGTTAATACAACTATTATTCAAATTTATACACCAACCACTAATGCCAAGGATGAGGAAATTGAAGATCTTTACTAACTTCGGCAGTTAAAATTGATCAAACATGCAATCAAGATGCATTGATAATTACTGGTGATTGGAATGTGAAAGCTGGAAACAAAGACGGATGGCAGTTAGAAAATATGGCCTTGGTGATGGAAACGATGCCAGATATCGCATGACAGAATTTTGCAAGACCAATGACTTCATTGCAAATATCTTTTTTCAACAACATAAACGGTAACTATACACATGGACCTCGCTGGATGGAATATGCAGGAATCAAATCGTCTACATCTGTGGAAAGAGACAATGGAAAAGCTCAGTATCATCAGTCGGAACAAGGCCAGGGGCCAACTGCAGAACAGACCATCAACTGCTCATATGCAAGCTCGAGCTGAAGCTGAAGAAAATTAAAACAAGTCCATGAGACCCATAATATGACCTTTATTATCTCCCACCTGAATTTGGAGACCATCTCAAGAACACTAATGACCAAAGACCAGATGAGTTATGGGAAGACATCAAGGGCATCATACATGAAGAAATCAAGAGGTTATTAAAAACATGAAAAGAAAGAAAAGACCAAAATGGATGTCAGAAGAGACTCTGAAACTTGCTCTTGAAAGCAGGGTACCTAAAGTGAATGGAAGAAATGAAGTCAAAGAGCTGAACAGAAGATTTCAAAGGGCAGCTTAAGAAGACAAAGTAAAATATTATAATGAAATGTGCCAAGACCTGGAGTTAGAAAATCAAAAGGGAAGAACACGCTCAGCATTTCTCAAGCTGAAAGAACTGAAGAAGGGCTCCTTAGAGTAACAGCTTATTCTAGGGCCTGAGGCAGGGAAAGTTATTAGGTGAGCCTGAACATCTTGTGGTCCCAGAAAAGTAAGGGAGAGCTCCAAGAATGATCAGGACCAAAGGACATAGAAGCCAGGGCTCCCATTGGCCAAATCCAAGACAATTTGAGCATTAAAATCATAATGGTAACATATAATAATAACTCACTGAATAAAACAAGAGTTCATGTTAGAAATAAAATGACACAAATAAACAAACGAATCAATAAATGGGGAGAAGAGAATGCTTTTCCTTATAGTAGAATGCTAATTGATAAATGTAAAAGAAATGGTGGCATTAGACGGCCACCATTTGGCCACCATCATAGTAATAATTGATTCAGTCAAGAAACAAAACGATCTAAGTTAGTGGGTGAGAGTTTGGTGACGAATGGGATATTTACATGGTCCCAAAGTATCTCCCCAAAATACTGTGGAGAAGCCTAGCCAACAACACCTTAACCAGGAAACCTATTCTGATATCACTCAGAACAGGACAGAGGATTGTACCCTTGATAGGACTGTACTCCTGCCAAAGATGCCTCATCTGAATCTAATCGTGAGGAAACATCAGACAAACCCAAATTGAAAGACTTTCTACAAAATAACTGCCTGTAATTTTCAAAAGTGTCAGAGTTCCCAAAATCAAGGACAGATTGATACAAGGAGACTGAAAAGACACAATATAAATCCCACACGATTCTGAGCATTATCGGGATGGTGGCAACACCAAAATGGAGTCCAACGACTGATGGCAGTAACGTGTTCATGTTAATTTCCTGGCTTTGATGGGGCGAATGCAGTCTGAAATCTTTCAGAAAAAAAATCCCATACTTCCTTTCTATAAGTGTTAAATTATTCTAAAATAGTGAAAAAAGAAAGGGTGGCATTAGCTTCACACCAGGTGGCAATACTGGACCTGTTTGTTGAGTGTTTCCATTTCAAAGCAGGCCTGGTCTTTGTCTTTCTTTAAAACCTCAATTTCCTGCCTGTTGAAGAAGCAAAATTAACAATATCATTGCCAACCAGTTTCCTTCTCCTGGACACAGCTCACTATCTGTACCACAAGCAGGCCCTCCCCACATGCCCTGGCGTTCTATGGCTCTGCTCTGCTCCCCTCTCTACAGTATTGCTGCTGCTATGACTGATGACTGTGATGATGGTACAATCCTGATCCGAAGCCCTTGGAGCCAGAGGAAGTTAGAAAGGTGAGATTTTTCAGATTTTTAGAGAGGTAAGACATTACCAGTATTGTACAAAAAGGACATTCCTCAATCACACAACTTAGTGTTTCTTTAGCAAAGTATGTCAACAGTCACACTTAGCTACACAAAGACCCAAACCACCTTACACCCACTAAGATCTGTTGGGAAAGGGCTCTGGTAGCCAATACAGGAGAAAATGGTTTCCAGATGGATTTCTGAGCTGCTGTAGTAACAGCAACCACCTCTGGATAGCGTACTCTGCATTCTATACTCTCACCGTCCTGGCTGTTCTATCAACTCAGCACCATGCTCTCAGCATTTCAGAGCTAAGCTCACCTCGAACTTCTTATTTAAAAAAAAAAAAAAGGTCAAATTGTCCTCGGATGTGGCTACAGTAGTGAAGGCTTAAACTCAATGACGGGGTGTTCCTACCCTGCCCCCACCCTTGCTCCTGCCTCAGGCTCTAGGGCCCTGTCCTCCTGTCATCACTGAAATCAATACACAGGAATGAACCCTGGAGAAAAGCCCAGCTAAAACCATTATTAGGATATGAACAAACATATTTTACTTGTCTAGGAAGAGCCCGGGAGTGCCTCTTAACCCTATAACCTGTCATGGCATGGTCAGAGGCCAAGAAAGCTTACCCACTTGTAGTTTTCTGGAAGGTGAGGCTGACTTGTGAATACTCCCCACTTCCTATATCAATACCTTCCATACTCATTCTACTCAGATGAAACTGGGTAACAGCCTTGAAGGCCAGGGGGAGCACCGAGATGGGCCTTTACCTCTGTGCATTATTTGTCCTTTCTGCAGCTTCAAGCTCTTGCTGAATTCTTCCCAGCTCATTTGTCAACGAAGTGTTTTCTTCAGAAAGCCTCTGTAACTCGATTCTGCAAACAAAGGTGAAAAGAGAAAGCAGGTTGGGAACTCCAGGAGCTGGCTACAATATGCAATCCGTCTAAGTCTGGTCCTACAGCTGACGTCATGATGATGATGATGCAGTTGACGTTTCCCCTCCCTCAGGACGGCACAGGGCACACTTTTCCTTTTCTTCTATCCAGGATTAACACATTCTGGTTTGCATCTCCCCACAGCAAGCACCTCGGTTTCATTTCCTTTGTGTTTATAGTTGACCTGTTTCTACATCGTTGAACCTCTCACTGCAATGTGAGTGTGTCCACAGTTGATATCAATGCAAAATGTTGGGTGTGAGGCCTCAGTTCATTCCAAAGGATGTTCCCTGTTGGTGAACTCCAGTGTGGGGCTGAGAAACACAAGGGATCAGAGGCCAAAATACGTGGACATACTTTGCTCTTTAGTGAGAGTTCCATCCTCCTACACTCCAAGGTCAGCACTAGAAGGAAAAACTTAGCAAGACACCCACATCAATTTATGGAGACAGACCTGATGCAAGGTGACTCCCTCATGAAGGAAAAGCATGTATAATCAGCTGCTACATGAACCAAGTCTGCCTGGAGTCACACTGGCTTCCTGACAAACAGCTCTTAGAGAACCTCTGCAGGGGCCGCGCCATCGGTTTATGCCAGCTGAGTATTTTACCAACAAAGATCCCTAATGAGGCAGCTTAAAACCCATACTTACTGCCCTTAAAACATGTTGATCTAGCTGATATTTATTCCCCCAAATAGGCTTCTGTCTGGCATCCCATTAACTTCTAATTTTTCTAATCTAAAAGTACTTCAAGGTGGTTCATAACCTCGTTGTGCTTATTTTGTGTATTATGTTTATAGTATCAAGCATAAGTACTCCTTCATCTGACTTCATTTTATCTTATGAGGAGCTAAAGAGAAAAAAAAGAAATAGAAGTCATGGGAATTTTAAAGCAGCAAAGGATTTCAAGCAGGGTTGTGAAACGAATGAAATCTCCATTGTGAAACTATCACTCTGGCTCTAGTACGGAATACACACTGATTCAAGGGATGCGTGTGTGTATTGGTGGGGGAGGCAGGATTCTACTTCCAGCTGCCTGGAGCCCAGATATGCTGACGTTTGCCCACCCCCACCCACCAAACAATCAGAGACTGTGTGAAGCCAACTATGCAACGTGTGATTGTCCTCAAAGAAGTTAACAGAAACCTCCAAGGGCAACCAAACAAAACAAAAACCTGGAAGCTGAAACAAAAGCTGTGAGCATTAAGCAATACAAAGATTGGGTTACCCTGAGGCCTGCTATCAGCAGGATGGAGAAGCTGTACTACTGACTCCAGCATCAGGCCAGTGACTCGGAAGAAAGTTAAAGTTGTCCCAGATTGGCTGCCCTCTACCTCTCTGCAAAGGCAACACCAATCCTCTATAGAGAAAAACATCCTCTACCAAAGCTCACAGGACTCCCAGCAATTAACATTAAGCAAACAAGAGCTCACAATCAAGGATCAAAAACATACACACAAACAAGTCACCTATAGGAATCAACGGAAACAAAGAACAGATTTAGACCCTCTAAGAACCTCAGGGAGCCTGGTGGTGCAGTGGTTAAAAGCTATGGCTGCTAACCAAAAGGTCGGCAGTTTGAATCCACCAGCCGCTCCTGGGAAACCCTATGCGGCAGTTCTACTCTGTCCTATAGGGTTGCTATGAGTCAGAATTGGCTCGATGTCAATGGGTTGGGGCTCTTTTTTTTTTTTTTTATCTCAGATATTGTAATTATCAGATACAAAATAAAAATAAATCTTATGAAATGTTTACATGAATAAAAGATGGAAATAAGAAATGAATAAGCAGCAAGAAACTATCAAAAAATGATCAGACAGGACCAAACAGAAGCTATAGAAATGAGGTGGGAAAAAAAGGTCAATGTCATAATAAAAACTCACTGAAATGGTTAGACAGTAGATTAGACAAAGCAGAATTAGTGACCTGGAACACGGATATAAAGAAATTACCAAGAATGTGGCACAGAGAGAAGAGGAGATGGAAAATATAAAAGTTGAGACATGGAGGAAAAATGGAAAGATCTAACATCATACGTCTAATTGGAGAGAAGAGGGAAAGAAGAGGCAGTATTTTAAGAATAATGGCTGAGAGTTTTTCACAAGACATAAATCAACACATTCAATAGGCACAATGTTTTGTAAGTAAAATAAATAAAGAGAAAACCACATCTATGCTCTAAAACCAAACAATTCCATTCCTACGCATATACTAACAGAAATGTGTATATATATTGCCCGAAAAGACATGTACAAGAACTTTCATAGCAGCCCTATTTGTAACAGCCCAAAACTAGAAACTACCCAAATGCCCATCAACAAAAGAATGGAAAAATAAATTGCAAATGAATGAATTACAGCTATAAGCAACAATATGGATGACTAACAAACACGTGGAGCCAAGCAAGTAGTCATTGTATAATTCCTTTATATAAAGTACAAAAACAGGCAAAATCAATCTATGCTGTCAGAAGTCAGGATAGTGGTTACACCTGGGGAGTCTTGGAGGGTTCTACTTCTTGTTCTGGGTGCTGGTAACACGATGTGCTCAATTTCCTCAAAATTTCTTTTAGTTGCACACTTATGTGCATTTTTCTTATGCATATAACACTCAATAAAAAGTTTAAAAGGAAGAAATACACATCTAAACACACCAAAGATAAAGAGATCATGGAAGTATCAGAGACAAAACTCAGATCACCTACTCTGGCTGGCAGAACAATGACCTTCTAAAAAAGGTCCATATATGTCCTAATCCCAGAACCTGTGAATATTAAGTTATATGGCTGCGGGGGGATTACAGCTGAAGATGGAATTAAGTCTGCTAATCAGCTGACCTTGATGGGGAGATTATTCTGGATTATCCTAGTGGGCCCAATGTAATCACCAGGGTCCTTTTCAGTGAAAGAGGGAGGCAGAAGAGTTAGAGTCAGAGTGATGCAGCACGGTAAAGACTCAGCAGCCACTGGTGGCTCTGAAGATGGCGGAAGAGGCCACAAACCAAGGAATGTAAGTGGTCTCTAGAAGTTGGAAAAGGCAAGTAAGCAGATTCTCCCTTGAGCCCTCAGAGAGGGATGCAGTCCTGCCAACACCTTGATTGTAGCCCAATTTAGTTCTAAGTGCTAGCTAAAATTTAGCTAAATTAAAAATTTTTTAAATTTAGCTAAATTTTAGCCTACTTCAAACCTCTAACCTCTAGAACCGTAAGATAATAAATTTGTGCTGTTGTAAGCCACTCAGGGACATGCGTCCATGCTCTGCAGCATTAGGAAAAGCCTTTCTAGATTTCAGACTTCTGAGTTAGAGCATTTGCCAGCCTGAGTCCCCAGGTGAACCCAGAGGAGGAAAAGGCCAGCTCCACCTGTGGCCCTCTCAGCACTTTGCTCAACTGACCAAAATCTTCAGGACTCCCTCCCATCTCGGCTTTCCCCAGAAGGCATCGGCTTCTGCAGCCAGCAGAGTTGCTGGGCCACAGCTGCTGCTGCCATTCTTTCACTGCAAGTCCCCTGGGCCAAGGACAGTGCTGGCACATGCAGTGGGATTAAATGAAGGCATGTGGGGTCAGTAGGCAGAGGGCTTCAGAGATGCACCAGGAATGAAGTGGGGCCCCAAGAACAGTCGGTCTTGGCCCTGTGAGACAAGCACAAACTTCCTAGGGACAAAGGTAGTGGACAGACCTGCGTCTGAGCCACAGGAGTCCTCACTGTGGGCTTCTAGGGGTCTCTGCATGGAAAGCCTCTCTTTTCCCACTCGCTCGGCACCAGGGACACCGTGGCCTGCATGCAAGCTGGGTTTATAGCCCTGACCAGGCACAGAGTTACATGGCCTTCTCCCGAGTCAGAGCCTGCCACCTGTGAGAAGGAAAGGGGAGCATGCAGTAGAGTCATCAGGGATACAGGTGAGCGGGCTCTAGTGTCACATGTTTGAGGATGGGTAGAAGGCAAACCTGTTGTTCTCTCTTGAATCTGCTTCTTTCTCCAGGGCCCGAACCACATCTTCCAGCTGTAGGAGTCTGGTCTTCACTTCAATTTTCTCTCTCTCCAGCGCCGTTTCTGCCTCCACTCTCTGCATGGCTCCTTCCCACTCCTGCCGTCCTGTCCCAGTGGCCTCCAGAGCACTCAGGCTCCTCCCAAGGGCCGGCTCCCCGGGCAGGTTGTCTCCATCCTTGTCTCCCTCCATTACCAACCAGAGCTGCTCCTGAGCTTCGGGCTGTTGCTGCTCGGATGACAGCCAGCTCTGATCTGCTGGGTCACTAGCCAAAGGCACTGATTTCTCTAGGTACACTGTCCCATCCACCCCAGGTGGCCCCACACATGACCACACCTCTGAAGGAGCAGAAGCCACCTCTATAGCATCCAGCAAGCCAGGATGGCTCTCTCTGACGCTGAAGCTTGCAGATGGCCCTTTGGGCCGCAGGGCTGGGATTGAGGCTGGGCCCTGGACAGGGTCTGCACAGCTGCTCTGCCAGCCTGGTACACCCATGGCCTTTGCCCCTCCAGACCCAGGCCCGCCTCCTGCTGGTCCCACCTCCTCCCTGACTTCTGTGGGCCCCAACAGGCCTGGTGGCGGCTGCCTTTCCCTCTTGTGATCTGCTGCTGCTGTTCCCTCCTTCAAGAGAGCCCTCAGCATCTGTGTCTCCTGGGCAAGACCTTCTACCTGCTTCCTATGTGAGAGTTCTAACTTTCCCTTCTCAAGGGCAAACACTTTGCAAATCTGAGCTTGCTCTTCACTCATCAGCTCCTCCAGCTTGACCTGCTGCTTCCTGCACTGGGCCAGGAGCTCCTTCTCCCTCTCATCCCTTCGTCCCTTCTCCAAGTCCAGCTGCGCCGCCATGTCTCTCACCGGCAGCAGGTGCCTCTGCAGCATCTCCTCCTTCTTGTGCTGATGTTGCCGTGACAAATGCTCGCAGTGGGAGGCCTGCTGGGCTTCCATCCACAAGAGCTTCTGGCTCAGCTCAGCCTCTGCCTCCTTCCTACAGAAACAATTTCACACGGCCTGGTTCAGAAACAGAAACGCCACATGCACCATGCGGTCGCTCCCCTGGGTCAGAAAAGGCCACCTAAGCTTGTGTTCTAGGCACACAACTCCTCTCTCCTCATCCCAGTCCCTCTTAGAGAGTTCACCCGTGAGACCTACCTGATGGGGCAATATAGACACTTGTGATTGTTTATATTTAAGTTTAAACCAATTAAAACTGAATAAAATTAAAACTCAGCTTCTTGGTCACACCAGCCACATTTAGCGGCCACATGTGGCTGGTGGCTCCTGCACTGGGCAGGCGAACAGAGGACATGTCCATTGTTGCAGACATAAAGTTGTATTGGGCAATGCTGGCCTAAAGTCTTAGTGAGACAGAGGAAACTCACCTATAGTCAAAATTACCCTTGAAAACACCTTAAACTGCTTGGAAAGGGGCCTTTGGACACCCCAGGAAAAAATGCTGAGGCTGAGTCAGGCTCAATCAAGAGCAGCCAGCCTGGGAGGGCCAGGGCAGCTCTGAGCGCACTGAAGATGCATGACATGGCTTTACTCCCAGTCATGGTGCGAGGGGACTTTCAGCCAGCTAGCGCAGCTCCTGGGACCAGGCCCAGTCCCTCTGCTGCCGTCTGGAGCCTCAGAGGGCTCTGAAGTGGTGGCAGCGGGCATAAGAGGAAGTGGTTTTGAAAGTGGTCAGGCCCTTTATCACAGAGATGCTGGGTTTAAGAGAAAATAAGTAAAGCTCAGGGGAAGCGATAACTTAAAAACAATTTTCTCTCCATTACCTAGGAGGGGACCACCTGCAGCCCCCAGGCCTGAGGCCGCACTCTGTGGCAGCATCTGGGGAAGACAGAGAGGGCATAGACTTGGGCTGATGGTGGTCCAGAGCTTTTCCTCACTTCCCATACTCAAGCTGCCCCAACTTCCTCACACATGGAAGGGAGGGCAAATGGCCTGTGGGGACGACAACCTCCCCAAGTCATAGGACAGTCTTACACATGGAAGACGGCTCAGTCTCCAGTTGTCGGCATGGTGCCATGGCTTCCACATATGAACCCAGCCCAAGTTCCCAGCAAAGAGCCCCTCCCGAGAAGGCTGCTCAGGCCTGGCCAGCGGGGCCCCAGTCTGGTCGGTGTGGGAGAGAGAGGTCCCCATGAACGTGCACTGGGCTTGCAGTAACCAGTACTCCACTAAGTGAGATGCACCTAACACAGAACGGGCATGTGCTTCTCATACACCAATGCCATGTTCGGTTCTCCAAATAGGCCTTTTACTGCCTTTGCTCCTAAGTTAGCTTCTAAAAACTTCCCTAATTCACTTAACCTTCTTTCCAATCACTTTAGGGCTTTCAGGCCTTCTCTCTATCCCCCCACATGCTACAACAACACACCCTGGAAAACCAGTATGTGACATTAAATGGAGAAGATGCTTCGCTACCTCTGGCCTTTGCTACAGGGAAGTCTGAGGAGAATATAAATACTGATGAGTTAAGTCTACAAAGCAAATCGCTTCATGGTCTAAGTTTTATGATATATTTCTAATCTGAAGTTAAAACACCTTATAAAATGACCTGTTCTCTCCACCCTCATCTCTCTGCCCAGAGAAAAATCACCCAGTCAACAGGCACTGCAGTTCCAAATAGTTTCCTAAATTCGGTTTCTAATGTGGGTTCCTGGCAAGAACTCCAGACACAAGGCCGCAGAAGGAAATAGGCCAGCAGACCTGACTTGCTGTGTTTCATGCTGGTGCCTCAGGCGGGGCTCCTCTTCCTGCCGCTGAGCCGGGCTGGCAAGCTCCTTGGTGCAGAGTGGCCCCCCATGCCCCAGCTTCTGCAGCTGCCCCTGCAGGCTGCGGATGGCCTCCTGTGACTGTGTGTGGAGCGCCTCCAGGTCTGCTTTCTGGCCCTCCAGCATGCTGACCTCATGCTTGAATGCCTGCTCCATCTCCCTTCTCTCCTTCTCAAAGTTCCTTTTCATTAGCTCGATTTCCCGCTCATAGTAATTTACCTGGAAAGAGAAATATGAGACCGTTAACCAGGGGCTCCTAAAGATTAGCTCCTGACAGTACGACATGGAAATACGAGGATGTCAGACATGCCAAGAAGCAGGCCTGCGGAGGGCTAGGATGCACAGACAGCGGCGACGCTCTGAGGGCTCAGTGCTCATGAGGCAGGTCCCACCAATGGGGAGGGCAGAGCAGAGGGTACAACCCTCACGGAGGGAATGCGCAGCCTTCTCAGGACAGGCTGGGAGATGAACACCCTGCAGGCCTGCAGGAAGGATGTTATCTGGCAAGCTTCGTCTAGGCACTGTAAGTAACTGCATCCAGGAGCCCAAAGGCACAGATGCAAGCAAGATGGCCGCATCCCTTTCTCAGGGTCAGAGGAACGTGGCACGTGACAATAGGTTGTGGACACTGTCTCTTAAAACTGTCGCCATGATCCAAGAACAGAACAGGAGATAATCCATCTGAGAAGACATCATTAGCCTGAGTAACGCTGGCTGTGAAGCTATTGAGCATCCCACAAAGGGCATATCCAATGGCAATTTAAGCTTAGAACAAGGTAGGTGAACGCCGTTCCCCCAGAGCTGAGTGTGAGGCCTGGTAGTCGGTGGGGCAGCACTCAGCATGCCAGCCCCCATGTGACATGGGACGTGCATGGCCTGCTTGTCTGCTGTCTGCCTCCCTGTAGGCACTTCTGCTTACATTTCCCTGCAAACTCCCCTTCCCAGGGCCAGCTCATCACGAGCGAGAAAATTCTAAGGCAGATGCCTGCGGAAGCATCAGCACAGAGCACAGCTCTCCCTGTGTGTAGCAGGAGGCCCCAGGCTTCCCCTGAGGCTCCCCTCACCCCCTACCTTGGTCTCCAGCTGGATGTTGAGGTCTTGGTAATGTTCCTTCACTTGTTCCACCATTATCTCCGTTTCTAGGCTCACGGGAGTGGGGCCACCCATACATGAAACGAGGCCTGCGAAGAGGAGGGAACTTCAGCTTCTCTCATGCCAAAGACATCACAGGTCCATCGCAGCTCTCCTTTCCCCACCCGACAACAAAGCACAGGCTCCACATGCACCTGGTGGTGGTGCTAGCGGAGGGCACCATGCCCAGGTTTCTCTCCTGTCAGTGACAGAGGACAGCATGTACCACAAACAATCTGTTACGCTGCATTCCACACGGCAGAACCCTCTAGAAACACCATTTCGTGCCTTCACCACAAGATTGCTCAAGGCTATGTCTAAGAGGCTCCCACATGGACCACCAGCACCCTCCAAGTCCCTACAAGGTGGAAATATGATACTTCATCTTCACGTCCGTTCCTTGATGCCAGGCACACAGAGGTGAGGAGGCAGAGGAAGTGGTGTGAACCGGGGCATGGGCAAGCCTTTGGGTAGTGTGAAGCCAGTAAGGAGGCCACACTGATGTGCAGGTGACTACATACACCCGTGTGGCTTGCTTACTAGTTCTCGTGTTGGCCTCCGTCTTCTCTACGCTATTTATTATGATATCATCCAAGTAATGCTGGGCTTTAGTAAACCAGTCAGGCATACTACTAAATATCTGTGGAATGAGGAAGGGCGACGTGAGCAGCGCCTTGGTCCAGGGAGCCCTCCTCCTTACATGAATGAGCACCCTGCCACCTGTGCACCAGGCACATCTGTGAGCTGGGTGTGTTGGTGGGGCTTGTAAGAGAGCTGGCCTGAGACTCGGAATTGCATTTGTGCCACGGCTAGGGCTTCACCATGCTGTGCCAAGAATGGGAAGTGGGGAGAGCCACCATCTACTCTGTCGTCCTGAAAATTGTGACAGAATTGGACATCGGGGCCAAGAAAACCTGGATAAACACCTCCAGAAAGAAAGCACTGCCTTGAAAACCCGGAGCTGGCCAGCTTGCTAGGCTGAACAGGCTGACAGGAGGCGTCATCAGGCTGGACAGTCCACATCACCCACACTCAATGCAATCCTGCTTCTTATGGTTCCTCCTGGCCACAGAGAGACCCCTCCTCACTGGAAGGGGCCAACTGAGCCTCTGTGCTGGCTCTATGAAAGGATACGGTCGGGCAGAGGAGGGGAGGGGAGAGAAAAGGTCACATTGTGAAATGGCTAGGTTTTATTAGTGATGACACAAAACTTAGGTCTGCCCTCTGGTGCCACAGCCCAAGTCCTTCTAACCAGGGAGACCTACGACTTCAGAGCCTAAGCCTTGCCTCTTGGGTTTTGGGTCAGTGGTTGCTGCCAAGGGCCACATGTTCTGTGTAGCTGAGGGTCCTAGACTAGTGAAAAGGGCAGCTGTGCACTTCCCTAGGGACACCCATGGGCAAGCTGGGGGTGCTTGGCCCTGCTCAGGCTGCTCTGTGCACTGGTGGGCTCTGCCCCTCCCCACTGTCACAGGCACACCTTGGCTTAGCCTCCCGAGGGGACACTTTTGACATCACTCAGTAGCAGTAAACCTCAAGCCCTCTCTGAGCACCAGGGAGAATCAATAATATGTTTTAAATGGAATTGAGTCTCTCTTTCTTTCTAAGAGTTTTCACATCAACCAGCTCATAGCTCAGAGAACAATCTGCACAGACCTTAGGCTGTGACTTGGGGCAGGAAAACGCAGCCCCTGCATTCTCCGTCACCTCTGACTCTGACTCTGCCCAGCCTGTGCTGAAAGCTCACCATGCAGTCCCTCACTTAGTCCTCACCACAACGGTGAGGGTGATCTGCAAACACTCACTGCAGGTGAGCTCTCATGAGCTCACTATGGGGTCACACAGCTGTTGCCATTTCTACACAACTGATAAAGCCCCCATACTCCCTCAGCCTCACAGGGAAGCTAGGAGGCATTCAGGTGGGTGGAGGGTGTGTGCTTAGGGGCAGGTGTTGGTGCCCTTATGTGCCCAGAAGTGGCCCTGCCACTGAACTCCCTGGGCCCAGGAGGCAGCCCAGTCAGCTGGAGCAGGTGGGCTCGCAGAGTCCACAGCCCCCCACCCCTCCCGCAAGAACAGGCTCTACCTTCCGGGCCATCTGCCAGGGGCAGCCATCCATCTGGCCGAGCGTTGGACTGGCCACGCTGGGTCTTGTGCAGCCATGCCTGCAGGCCTTCCAGTGCCGCCTGTAGCTCATCGTTGTGGTCCTGCAGGTCCTGTCAGCAGAGCAGATACCCCTGCAGCTGCCGCTCCACACTGTAGGGCCCGGGGAGCAGCATGGCGTGGTGGGGCATACAGGGTGCCCGGGGGAAGGAGCTTCGACTCCTGACCTCAAGCATGCAACGTTCAGACTGGACTTTTAAGTTCCCAGCTACCCAGTGAGTTAAACAAGACAGGGGTCGTCTCCTCAGCTTTCTTATGCCCTACATCACCTTCTATCACTGGATTCATAGGAGGGGCTCCAAAAAGAAAAAAAAAAAAAGCAGTGGAGTGGATATGGAGGAGAAATGCAGAACACAGACATAAAGGGTCACCAACATTTGAATTGACAGGTGTGTGTGAGAGTCCACCATGGTAACGGGACATGGGCAAGAGAAGCAACTCACTGAGACTCTTTCCCCAAAGGGTTCTGCAGCCATTAACTGTCAAGGAGGTACCATTAGCTTAAGATAACATGCCACACAGCAAAGAGGACAGGTGACAAGGGTGGCTGGGGACTGACAAAGTACACACAAAGTGGGGGCCACAGGGCGGATGGGTGGCATCGGGAAACTGCGCGGAGTCTGCACCCGGACCCTTGCTGCAGTGAGCACAGTCTGCACACAGGTCAAGGAAACACTGAAATGAGCACACTCCATCTCCAGGTTTTTAAAGAACTGTGACTAGACACAGTTCTTAGTCACACAGACTTAAGGGGAACATGGCAACTTGCACCCTGTCTGTGGGGCCCCAGCTGCCTTCATCAGTATGGAGTGTGTGGTCATCATCCCTTCGGTGAACGGGGGGTAGGGAGGAGAGTGATGCGGGGGAAGGGGAAGCTTGGGACTGTGCAGACCTACTCAGTATGGCAGCAGTGATACCAGGCATTTCAGGGCTATAGCTCTGCCTGGCTTCTCTTTTTAGGAAATCCACACTGGGGGACACCAGTCACCATACTGTGAGGAAGCCCAAACTAGCCCACACGGCAGCCATGTGGTAAGTGAGCTTTCAGACAGTTCTGGCCTAGTAGATGGGTTGCGCAGCTGAGGGCCAACATCGGGGGGCAGAGATGAGGTATCCCTACTGTACTGTCTGAATTCCTGATCCATAAAATCCACGAACATATGAAATGGCTGTTTTAGGCCACTAAGTTTTGGGGCAATTTGTTATGAAGCCATAGTCATTGGAATGGCATGTATTGCCCATGCAAATTATAAATAAAATATATTCCCTGAGAAAAAGCTTATTGATCTTAAGTGAGGGGGGAAGAAAAGGACAGGCCCATACCTCACACCATACACAAAAACTAATTCAAAATGGATCAAAGACCTAAATATAAAACCAAAAACTATAAAGATCATGGAAGAAAAAACAGGGTCAACAATAGGGGCCCTAACACATGGCATAAATAGGATACAAATCATAATTAACCATACATAAACACCAGAAGATAAGCTAGATAACTGGGATCTCCAAAAAATTATACACTTATGCTCCTCAAAAGACTTCATCAAAGGAGTTAAAAGAGAACCTACAGACTAGGAAAAAATTTTCAGCTATTACATATCTGACAAAGGTCTAATTTCTAAAATCTTTAGGAAAATCCAACACTTCTACAACAAAAAGACAAATAATCCAATCAAAAAATGGGCAAAGGCTATAAACAGACACTTCACCAAAGAAGATATTCAGGCGACTAAGAGACACAGGAGGAAACGCTCTCAATCACTAGCCATTAGAGAAATGCAAATCAAAACTACAATGAGTGCCATCTTACCCTGACATTACTGGCAGCAATCAAAACAACAGAAAATAACAAATGTCGGAGAGGCTGTGGGGAGATTGGACCTCTTATGCACTGCTGGTGAGAATGCAAAATGGCACAACCATTTTGGAAAACAATATGGCACTTCCTTAAAAAATCAGAAATAGAAATACCATACAATCCAGCAATCCCACTCCTAGGAATATACCCTAGAGAAATAAGAGCCATCACACGAATAGACATATGCATGCTCATGTTCATTGCAGGATTATTCACAATAGCAAGATGGAAACAACCTAAGTGCCCATCAACAGATGAATGGATAAACTATGGTACATACACACAACGGAATACTATGTAAGGATAAAGAACAATGATGAATCTCAGAAACATCTCACAATATGGATGAACCTGGAAGACATTATGCTGAGTGGAATAAGTCCATCACAAAATTATTATAAAAACTCATGAAAAGGTTTACATACAGAAAAAAAATCTTTGATGGTTATGAAGGATGGAAGGGGCGGGAGAGAAAAACACTAACTAGACAGTAGATAAGTGATAACTTTGGTGAAGGGTTAAGACAGTACACAATACTGGGGAAGCCAGCACAACTTGACCAAGGCAAAGTTAAAGAAGCTTCCACATCCAAACTCCCTGAGGAATCGAGTTCCCAGGCTGAGGGCTGGGGACCATGGTCTTGAGGGGCATCTAGCTCAAATGGTGTAACATAGTTTATAAGAAAATGTTCTGCATCCTACTTTGGTGAGTAGCATCTGTGGTCTTAAAAGCTTGTGAGCAGCCATCCAAGATACGTGTACTGGTCCCACCCTGTCTGGAACAAGGGTGAATGAAGAAAACCAAAGACACAAGGAAAGGTTAGTCCAAAGGACTAATGGAACACAACCAACACAGCCTCCACCAGACTGAGTCCAGCACAACTAGATAGTGCCTGGCTACCACCGCCAAATGCTCTGACAGAGATCACAATAGAGGCTTCCAAACAGGGTTGGAGAAAAATGTAGAACAAAATTCTAACTCACAAAAAAAAGAGCAGACTTACTGGTCTGATGGAGACTGGAGCAACCCTGAGAGTATGACCACCAGACACCCTTTTAACTCAGTACTGAAGTCACTCCTAAGGTTCATGCTTCAGCCAAAGGTTAGACAAGCCCATAAAACAAACAATAATACACGTAGCACAACCATGTATACCAGACTAAATGTGCACACCAGTCCAGTGGCAAGGACAGGAAAGTTGGACAAATGGAAATGGGGAACTCAAGGTAGAGAAGGGGAGAGTGTTGACACATAGAGGGGTTGGCAACCAATGTCATAAAATAATGTGTATTAATTGTTTAACGAGGGTGATGATTAAGATTGTGTCAGCTTGGCTGGGCCGTGATTCTCAGTATTTATATGTGATCACTCCCATGATTGAATATGCTATGAGTAGCCAATCAGATGAAAGGGAGTTTCCTTGGGAGTGTGGTCTGAATCTAAGCAGACCTTCTGGCTTTTTGCTCGCTGTGGATTCTGCGGCTGCCTCCTGTTCATCTGACCTCCGGTTCTTGGGACTTGACCTATCAGCTTATCTGCTGATCCTGGAACTAGTTGATCTTTACAGCCTGTGAGCAGAGTTCTGCTTTCCAACCTGCTGATCTTGGGTTCACCAGCCCCTGCGGCTATGTGAATGAGGAGAAGCCTCTATCCTAATCCACAGACTTGGGATGGTCCAGCCTCTACAACTATGTGAGCTGTTTCTTTGATATAAATCTGTTTCTCTCTATATTTATACGCTTTACTGGTTTTGCTTCTCTAGAGAACCCAGCCTAAGACAACTGGTACCGAGAGTGGTTCTAGAAAAAATTGTAAGGATGAGTCTTCTAAATTGGTTCTCAAGTCTGGTTAGTCTTAAAGATGTTGATGACTCTGCTTCTAGCATTAAAGAGAGCACTGCTAATCCATGGCGTGAGGTGCCAATACAAATACGCAAAATATCATCACCAGTAGATCAGGTATTGGTGAAAGGTGAAGCTCAGGGTAAACACGTGTGATATCTTTCTACAGTTTTGTCAGAATGAGAAGTATAAGGAAGCTGGTTGGTCGGTCCTACTTACGCTAGACAAACTGGTGAAGATGCGCTCAGGGCTTCAGAGTCAAAGCTCAAGCGCCGCATAAATGACCTCAAGGCTCCCGCTTGTGCTCTGACTTATTTCTTGTAGTAACAGAGCTGAAATCGCCGAAAACCAAACCCGGAGTCTCATTGTAAGAGTGGCTCAATTACAATGCCAGCTCAATTGCCAACCTTGACAGGTGTCTGAAGTTAAAGGGCACTGACTGGGAAGAAATACGATCCTGAAACTTGGGATGGGGACGTATGGGCAGATAGCCAGGAAGCTGGTGACATTGAGCCCCTAAATTCCATTGAATCACTTCTGCCAGCAGAACCACTCCCATCTGAAGAGATTAGTTCATGTTTGTCTGCTAAACCACCCTGCCCAGAAAAACCATTAGCCCCTCCACCCCCATCTAATGAGATTAGCCTTAGCCCAGCTGTCTCTAAGGAGCCCTTTCCTGAGTCACTGCCTAGGGCATCGCCTGAGGCCGAAGCTTTATAAGACAATGATGAATGTTCTCAAAACACTGCCCTTACTATCAAATTTGGCTTCGAGACCTATAACTAGACCTAAGTCCCAGCAAGCCCCAAAAGGTGAAGTACAAAGTGTGACCCAGGAGGAGGTACGCTTCACTCCAAAACAACTGCTTGACTTTTCTAACGCGTACAAACAGAAACCTGGGGAATATGTGTGGGAATGGCTATTAAGGGTGTGGGATAGTGGTGCAAAGAACATAAAGATGGATCAGTCTGAGTTTATTGAAATGGGTCCACTGAGCACAAATTGTTCATTCAGTGTTTCAGCTTGAGAAGTCAGGAAAAGATCTAGTAGTTTATTTGGTTGGGTAGCCGAAGCATGGATTACGAGGTGGCCAACACTAAATCAAGTTGAAGTACCAGACCTGCCTTGGTATACTGTAGAAGAGGGTATCCAAAGGCTTAGGGAAATTGGCATGCTAGAGTGGATTTATCAGGTTAGACCCACACACCCACACAAGGAGTTGCCAGAGGACACATCTTTTACCACCACTGTGAGGAACAAATTTGTGAAGGGAGCTCCAGTATCCTTGAAGACTGCTGTGATTGCTATTTTATGTAAGTCAGATTTGACAGTGGAAACTGCCCTAACTGAA